ACAAAAAAAAAAAAAAATGCAGACAGATTTCTGTCAAACTGTAACACATATCTGTGGAGTTCAACCACCAGTGCAGTCCTGCCCAGCAAAAATCTCCTGAGCCTGGTCTTTATCTGCAGGTTTTGGTCTCCTGAGCTCTGACCAGAATCTCCCATGCAAAACAAACCTCAATTGTGCCAACTCTATGCATTCAGGCGACACCTCTGAATGTTTCCAAACTCTTTGCATGAGCCAGTCCCAAAGGGTTTTGAACCAAATGATCAGGTATAGTCACAGCAATGACCCCACTCCTCTGGTACCAATTCTGTATTTGTTACTTTTCTCTCATTGCTGAAACAAAACACCTAATTCTCAAAATTAGGGAAGAAGAGGTTTATTGCTTACAGTTTTTTGGAGGTTTCAGTCTATACTCACCTGGCTGAGGGGCACCCATTCATGGTGGCTGCAAATGGAAAAAGCAAGCAGGGCAAAAGGATGGGGAGATGCTTCCTTCCTGCCCTTACATTGTATGTCAGCTACCTGCCCCTCGGCAAGTACAGCACTCATACTTCCAAACCCAGCACATTAATGAGCCGGTCATAAACACTAGATTCAGCCATGTCCATGACTGCGTGAGGCTGGTGGGGTGCCTCTGAATACAAACCATAACAAGACCTAAATTTCAAATCAGAGCTTCCTTAGCTGTGTAGTCACCGAGCTGCCATGAGCTAGTGTTATGGCTTGTGTCTAGCTGTCTTCCCAAATCTCATGTAGTCACAGCTAGGACTTTTTCAGATGCAGTGAAATCCACTGTGTGACTGATTCATGGTGCCATGCTAGGATTGAGGAATGACGTGAGGGTAATCATTAAATCAGTCCACTGACTGGTTTGGCTCTGCCCTAATCCTGGTAGCCTGGATATAACCTAAAGGGACAAAAAAAGAGGCTTCTCTTGTTTCTTGCTTGTTTTGCTATCTTCTGTCCACCATGAATGTTACTCTTCTACAATACTTGTCTGCCATGCCACCCAGCCTTGGAGCCAGCTGATTATGGACAGAAAGTTCTACAAACTGTTAGCTAAATAAACCTCTCCTTCCTTCACACTGGGTACCTGGTATTCTGTCTCAGCAATGAGAAAAGTAACTAAGAAGCTGTCAAATATGAACCTGGGACAGAAATCTCATTAGGTCTGGGAGTCTGGACCTGGAGACTGCTTGCTTCACTGGGGTATGGGGCCATTTCACTGTGACTTGGAACTTACAGGGACAGTGCACTTGAACAGGAATGCATGAGACTTCAACAACTCAAAATGGATAATCAGATAACACCAGAGGAGAGAAGCACTTTGGGATATTCATAATCCAGTGAAACCCAGAAGTCAGACCACATCAGCTAAACTCAACAGGTAATGAGAAACATACGTCTTTGGTGAACCTCAGACTCCATCCTACATGGCACTGGGAGTCCAGCTGCCTTCCTAAAGCGAGACGCTCATAATCTAGAAACCAAACTTCATGTTCTCTCAGTTGGCTCTTCTGCGGAGGATGATACTGAATATAGCACTGACTGAGAAGGCACTTTCAATTCGCTTACAAGTCAACCTTTAGGAAACTCTCTAAAAACATGGTATCTTAGGTAGTTTGAACTCTGATGAAAACTGATAATGAGGAAGAAAAAAATTAAATTTTCAATTACCATATTCAGAAACATAGAGACCTAATTCTGTATCCAGCCAAAAATCAACCACAGGCACAGGAGCTGCTGGCACTGTGCCCAGCAGGGCGAGAACCAGTTAGGGGAGGGATGAGAGGAGAAAGGGAGAGGGGAGGGAGAGGGGGAGAGGGAAAAGGATGGGGGGGGGAGGAAGAGACAGATGCCGAGGCAGACTGAGGCAGACACAGACAGAACTAGTGTGAGAAGTGGAGGACTTATAAGAACTTCCTTTGCTTATAGTCCTGCCTCGCCTAGGTATCGCAGTACTGTCAGATAACCAGGCATTAAAAAGGCATGGATGTGGTCTCCTCCCCGTATACTTTATATGCTTAGAAAAAGATGAAAATCAAAAGGTATTTTTTCTTACTGGTAGATAACAGGAAAAAAAGAGAACAAAATATCCAATTACTTGATTTCTACTGACCCAAAAGATTTACCTATCTCAAGAAGGGAAACGTAACATAAGCAAAATCAAAATCCAGCCTCATGGGGACCAAGTTCATAGTACAGTGGTGCCAGCCTGGTCAAGGCCGGGAGTCTGATGGAGAAGGCCCACATCTGGAATCTGTTAAAACAAATGTACTTGAGCCAGGGCATGGTGGCTCACGCCTATAATCCCAGCATTTGGGAGGCTGAGGCAGAGGAGTGTTGCAAATTTGAGACCAGTCAGTCTGGGCTACAAAGTGAGCTCAAGGCCAGACTAAATTTGGGTAGCAAGACCCTATCTCAAAAGGACAAAAAACAAATAAATACCCCCCCCCAGTGTACTTGAATTTAAGGGTCCTAGGAGAAAGTCTGTGATTATTCCAGATAGAAATCATGAATGGGTAACATTTCAGTCACAAAGTGACCATGAAGCTTGCTTTCCAAATGGCAAAACAAAACCATGAAGAACTTGATTTAACTGTACAAGGCTCTGGTATATAATGACAACACTCACTTCTGTGCTCTGAAGTTCCATAGCTAGTCACTCAGCTTTCTATGAATAACTTTCAGATACTCCTGAAAAATGACCCTGACTACACAGTCATACAGTTGGGATGTGTGGCAGATGACGTATTCACACTGGACTACAGTCACCCTGCTGGGTGCACTTTAGGCCTTTGCCATCTCTAATGTCCCAGCTTTGAAAACAGGCCACCAAATGAATAAGGGAAGTAGAGCAGAGCACTGCTTCCTCACCACAGAAGAGCAAAAGGAGCAAAAGGCTGATCTTGCCTCATGTCAGAGTCACACTGTCATCACTGACACAAGACCTGACACCCACGATTTAGAGAAGGGATTGAAAAAAAGTGACTGGCATGAGAGTACCAGCTGAATACTTTCAGCAATCCACTATTAGGATGTGATGAAACACGATGTCTTTTGTCAGACTAGATCAACTAAGTCTCTCAAATACTTCCATATAGCATATTTGAGTTCACAGTTTAAGGAATATTTTGACTTTTTTTTTATTTTAGGTATTGAGAATCAAACTCAGGATCTGGAGCTTCCCAGGCAGATGCTGTGCAGCTGAGCTATGTCCCAGCTCCTAAGGGATATTTTGAAAAGTAGGAAAGCCTGGGAAGAAACATGCATCTAAAGTCTACCAGTATTTACTGATCAACTATTGAGTATGTTAGTTATCTTCTCAATTAAATCACAAAACTCCCATTTTATTTGCGGCTCAGGGAGGCTGACTTTCCCAAGGTCTAGTAACAGATAACGCCAACATTTCAACTAGGGCTGTCTTGGACTCAAGCACCTTTTTCACCATGGCCACCGTTTATATAAAACTTTTAAAAATGCTTTTATTTGGACATAAAACTGAAGAGCACAGTTCCATGTAAATGAACAGGAATTTTTTTTTTTTTTTGTCTTCTTCATTTTTATCAGTACCGGGGATCGAACTCACGACTGCCTCCTTGCAAGGCAGGCGCTTATGCCGCTGAGCTAAATCTCCAGCCCCATGAACAGGAATTTTTAAAAATAATTTTAAAATATTAATCCTGAGAAAGACAATTGTCATATGCCTGGTATAATTAGTTCACACAATAATATGGGATAATTATCCATATACCTCAAAAATCAAAGGTTTGAGAGACCCCTTATTTATCATTCAACAGATGTCTATTCCTTTTTTCTCCTTTTTCTGTTATCCTGTGTCTAGGCGTCCAGTGACGCCCCAAATTACCCCATCTTCCTACCTTTCCATTTCTTAGGTTTTTGCCATTTTGGCTTCATTGCAATGGTTTTGTGCCCTGTTCTTTAACAAGGCGTAATCTTATTTTGATGAATGCATTAAAAATGCTAATGTATAATCAGTGAGAGCTTCTTTAATTTACTATAATGAAAATTTCTAAGAGAGTAGAAAGATCTAACTGGGACCATCAGACAAATCCCAGGTCTAGGAATACAGTAGAGTACAGAAAGACTTGGATAACTGAACAAGCTCTCAGATTTTATCCTAGCTTGTCTGCCTCAAACTAGACTTTTCTTTTTAACTTAGTAATAGGGTCCGAAGTCCTTCAAATAATACTTTGGAATGAGGGCGGCTTCCTATTTTTGTTTGGTTAATTCTCCAGCAACAGAGTAAAATTTCGACTTCATTTTAATGACAATGTATCTCCCCTTTTAAAAAAGACATAACTGAAAACCAAGCGCAAGATAGTGACGAGATCTTTAGCCACCTGCCTGGGCCTGGATCCCAGCACTGGACTCAGTTCTGCTCTAAAAAGGCGCTCGATAGTGCAGCTTGGGCAGCCTCTGAAAAGTTCTCTGAGGACTCCATATACCAGAAGTTAAGAGTTCAACTCCAAGCTGAGAGCCTCGCTTCTCCAGGTTAAGAGCCTGCTTTCTCCACACCGCCGCTCCACCAATCAAAAGCGACACAGTCAGCCTCCTTCTGACACTCTGGCTCCCGGAAAAGGGTGGGAACTTAAGCCGGCGGAAGCGTGGGCCGGAAGCGTGAAGAGATTATATCTAAGCCCCACCCCAGCGCAGCACCTCCCCGGACCGCTCCACAGCGCGAGGAAGGAGAGGAACCACCTGAAGTTTCATCAGCCACCCAGGGCCCGAACCAACCTCAAGCCCTTTCTTAGCTTTCCCCAGCCTCGCAGACCGCCCCCTTGCGAAGCGCATAGTGTCTCAGCCCCAAGTACCCGGATGTTCCCCTCCCTCCAGCAGCTCAGTGGCCCCTCCCCTGCGCGGCTCTACGTGCCCACGCCAACGCTTACGGCGCTTCCGGAGGCGCAGCACGCGGTGACGTAAGAGTGTGCCCTCTATATGAGGTTGGGGAGCGGCTGAGTCGGCCTTTTCCGCCCGCTCCCCCCTCCCCCCGAGTGCCGCTCCGGCTGCACCGCGCTCGCCCTGAGCTTTCAGCTCTTGCTAAGCTAGCGCGGCCGCTGTCTCCCGTCAGCTACCACCATGATTATCTATCGGGACCTCATCAGCCGTGAGTCTTGACTATACTACCCCATACCGCACTGGGGAGACCAGGGTGGGAGTCGAGTGGGGGCGGGGAAGGTGCCCTGCCCAGGTCCTAGTCCTGAGGGACGCCGGCGGCCTCTTGGGGGCGGGCAGGGGTCGGGGTTTGGGGCGCGCGCCCGGGGCGGGGCGAGGGCCGCGTGCTCCCAGCCGGCGCGGGAAATGGCGGAGCCCAAGCCTCCGGCGCCCTTTGACAGCTGGCTCTCTGTTCCCGAGCAGACGATGAGATGTTCTCCGACATTTACAAGATCCGGGAGATCGCGGACGGGCTGTGCCTGGAGGTGGAGGGCAAGGTGAGTCGGTCGGGGCGCCGCATGGGGGAGGCAGGGCCAGGCAGGCGGCTCGGGTTTCCGCCGCTCCCCCGCCCGCGGTTGTGCAATCCTCCCCGCCGCCTCCTGGCGGAGGAGACGCTCTTCGGGCTTGGGTTTTTCTAGAAAAGTGAAGGCGGAGCCGAGCCTGGAAATAGGTCTGCCGCCTTCCTGGCTGTCCCGGGTTGGAACCTCAAGCCCTTAGCGTGTGTCCTGTTTTTACTTGACCCGTGACCATCTGAGGGCCCACAGCTGAGTGGCCTGCACTTCGTTGTAGTGACCTCATTTTCGTTCCGGCCAGCAGTTCTTATTAGATCTGGTTGTTTCTGAAAAAACTAGTTTAAACAAGAGCTAAGAATATCGAGTGAGAACACGATGGATACTGAGCGTAAACTATGAATATAAGAAACATTTTGAAGGTTCCTCTTTTTTATTTTGCAAGTAAACTTTTTTTTTTCCTTAATGCAGATGGTCAGTAGAACAGAGGGTAACATTGATGACTCGCTCATTGGTGGAAATGCCTCCGCTGAAGGCCCCGAGGGCGAAGGCACAGAAAGCACAGTAATCACTGGTGTTGATATTGTCATGAACCATCACTTGCAGGAAACCAGTTTCACAAAAGAGGCCTACAAGAAGTACATCAAAGATTATATGAAATCGTAAGTGGCTTCAGCTTAGCTGATGTTTAAGATCTTTGAGGATTTAGGGATTGGCATGTTCTAACAATAGAAAAAGTCCTTCTTGGACAAGGGGGCTTTTTTAAAATTCAAAGTTTTTTTTTAGTCAGTAACAGTCTGACACGGTCATATAATCTGTCATGACATTTGGGATTGTAAACAATTGTTGAAAGATCCATTCTGCAAATACATTAATTGTGCAGTATTCTGTTCATTGATACCTAGTTGGCCTTAAAGTTGGGGCTTGTATTTTTTACTTAAGTAAAAAAATTGACTTTGTTCAAAATCTAGTACTTTAATAACCTTTTAACAAAATACTGTTTTAGAATCAAAGGTAAACTTGAAGAACAAAGACCAGAAAGAGTAAAACCGTTTATGACAGGGGCTGCAGAACAAATCAAGCACATCCTTGCTAATTTCAAAAACTATCAGGTAAATATTTTAGTATATGGATCAGACTTTTAAGAATATTCTAAAAGAGTAGCTCTTACTCTATAACAATAGAAACTTTGTTTCTTGATTAGTCTGTAGCTTTGTAGACTCAACTGGAGTTCAGGGGGACAGAGTAGTCTTGTCTTTAAAAAAAGATCTTGCCTTTTTATAAAAAAAGTTTTTTTTTGCTTTTCTTCTTTTTAAATCCTTGCTGTCTTAGCAAATGATGGTTCTCAGTTCTTCCTCCTTTGGGTTGTTTAACTTCCTTAGTAGCTCAATTTTGTTTACAATTTACTGTGTGTGGTTGCTTACCATTGATGTTTGTGCTACATCTGAGCTTGTTAGCCCTTACTGGTAAACTTCAATGAACTCCCCTTATCTATAAGGTTTGATTTTTTTTTTTTTTTTTTTTAAACTATGTCACAATCTTGTTTTTCAGACTTAAGCTTTATTGTATCTCATGACTATAAGGTCACTTCCTTATGTGATACACTTTATTGACAGCTTTATGTTTTCATTGTTAGGTATGTAAGCAGTAGCATTTGGAAATGTTTAGGATTGACAAAAGTGAAAATTTCTAGAAAACCTAGTGTTGGTTCATTGCATTGTACTATTTTGGTTACTAGTGCTTTGTTACCTGAAGTGTTTGAGCATTAATCTTGGGCATCAAAACTTGTACTTGCTAAACTTTCTTGGATTTTCTATGTTCTGACACTTGGTTGTGTTATGGTTTGCTCTGAGATGATTCATGTTTTTATATAATGGTCTGATTCTGAGTATTTGTTTCTCAAGTTCTTTATTGGTGCAAACATGAATCCAGATGGCATGGTTGCTCTCCTGGACTACCGTGAGGATGGTGTGACCCCATTTATGATTTTCTTCAAGGATGGCTTAGAAATGGAAAAATGTGTAAGTATCAGAAAGTGATTTGAAATAAGTGATGTAAATATGGAGATATTTTAAGTATAGGTGTTTTGTGCTATTAGGGTGGTTACTTGGTAGTTTTAAAACATGGCATCTAGGTGTTTGGGGGGATTGTCTTTGGCTTTTTGTTTCCTCTGTGGAGGGTCTATAAATAGGTTTGTCATTCACATGTAGGAGGCTTACAGTATGAAAAACCTGTAGAAAACTGAATGGTTTAAATACTGGAGGCCAGAGATTTAGCTCTCTGGCATAAACACTTGCCTGGTAAGTGCAAGGTCAAGAGTTTGATCCCTGGTACAAAAAAAAATACTGAACTGGAAATCAGAAATAGCACTCTCCTCCCCCTTTTGGCCTGACATTCATGATTCTTTGAGTATCAGGGTTTTTTTTTTTTTTTTTTTTTAAGCTTAGATTTACTGGTAATTGGCAGCTGATAATTGAAAGCTTTAGGACATTTAGCTGCTAGTAAATAGAGCTGATTACTGATGGACTTTGTGTCAATAAAAGGAAATACATTCAATAAAAGTGAATGTCGGGTTGCTGCCATGCAGACTGAAAAAAAGTACTCGTTCATCTTAGCCTTAGAGCCAACTATTTTAAAAGAAAAAGCTTGTTAACGATACATTGAACAAAATGAGGGTCAACAAATGGGCAAAAATTGGCACAAGATAACTTGCCCAAAGTGGTTAGTCAACCACTACGTGAAGTTTTTTGGTAGGACCTTAATGCAGGGTAAGACTTGTAGAAAATACTCTACCTCTGATTTGGTAAGGATGTCCTGCATCCACTGATAGACCTTGAACAATTTGTTGTTCTTACGGTTTGCACTAGGATGCTAAAGGAAAAATCCCTGCGCTTTCTGTCTGTCTTTATGGCAGCCCAGATTGAATTGGGGAGTACACCCGTATGGCATAGAAATTTAGTGCTGTTAATTGAGAAAAATGTTAATGCAGTCTTTCTTGTTTTTACAGTAATGGATTCGGTGGTTACTTTGGATGTATCACTTGTCATAACTGGCTGCTGCTTGTCATCCACACAACACCAGGATTTTAAACAAATGGGACTGATGTCATCTTGAGTGCTTCATTTCTTTTGACCGTGATTTATTTGGAGTGGAGGCATTATTTTTTAGGGAAAAAACACATGTCATGTAGGTTGTCTAAAAATAAAGTGCATTTAAACTCATTTGAGAGAATGCCTCTTAGTTTAATACATGTATAAACTAAGTCCATTGTAGTGTTTGTGGAGAAGATAGACCACTGCTAAAAGCATAAGACTGTCTTCAGATAACTTCTGCAGTGGAAACTACTCCTGAGACTGGAACCTAAGAAAAGAATCAAAGTATTAATTCTGAATTTCAGTGAAGGGGAAAAAGGACTTTCATAGCAGTGCCAACATTTGAAGTGGAGCCTTATATATTTCATCACCTACAATGGAAGTAGTTAACCATGGACGAGATTACCAAAAGAATAAAAAGACTTAACTCAGTTGGAAGTAAAGTATTGTCTGAGTTTATTTAATATAGATCAAGTAAAACCAGGTCTGGAATGGATGTCAGACCCTGGTTAATCAGAATGGGGGTTAGTAAACAGGCCTGTCTGCTGCCTCTGCAACAAAGGTGGTTATAGTTTAAAATGGCTGGGGAAGGGGATCAGAAGAGTGCTTGTGACATGCAATTTGAATTTGTTCAGTTTGTGGGAACATTACCATGTGCATTAACTATAATTTTACTGACTTTTTGCATTGCAAGAATGTGTGACAGGCCTACAAATCCTAAAACAACCTTGGAACCTTTTGTGCAGATTATCCGTGCTTTAAAAGATAAAGATGCAATGTAGGGTAGCTGTTAGAAGAAAAAAGTTTCATGTTATCAAAAAAGGCCATGCAAGTACTATGTAGAGTATACACTTGGCAGCCTGGAGCAGTTACCTGTTCAGGTGCTGTTAAGGTCTCCAGGTAGAAGAAAAGTGGCTGCCACTTCTGATTGTGGCAGCCAGGATTGAATAGAGGGATACATGTCTAGCAAATATGTATAGTACTGGGGCTTAAATCCAAGGCCTCATGTGTACCTGGCAAGTATATTACTGAATGAGCCACACTCATTTTTGTTTAGTTTGGATGTGTGATTGGCAGTCAAATTTGCCATGGTAGGGGCCAGGGATATAGCTTAGTGTCACAGCACCTTCCTGGCAGGTGCAAGGTCATGACCTTGGTCCCTAGTATCCAAAAACAATTTGCCCTGATGCCTTCAAAATGCATAGTAAGAGTTCAGGTAGCTGTTAGGTTAATAGCGCCCTCTGCTGAATAGTGAAAGAAAATAGGTAGAAATTTCTTAAACAACATTGTGATTTGTGACTGAAGGAAAGTGTAGCTTGATCTAGGAGGCAGCTTCATGGTTCAAACATGCCAGCATGTTTGTCAGTGTCATAACTGGAACAGCCTGATACTCGGGAAAGCCTTGAAATAATGTAAGTTGAAACCCAGACAATAAGCCACCCTTAAAGATTTTCAAATCTATAAATCCCTATTTTCCTGGCAGTATGCAGTGTTTTGTTTTCGAGACAGGCTTGCTATCTGTGTTGTGGTCTTGAACTGACGCTGCAGCTGTCCCATGTCATGGGGTTCCATGCATGTATCACCAGGGCTCTTTACACCCCATCCAGATCAGTGTAGGTTTGTACATTGCATTGTTTTGTGTGTAGTCTATTCCAAAAATGGCCATTATAATTTATGAAAAGAGCTTGAGAAATTCAGGTAGTTGCCTTAAAGACTGCCTGTGTTTTGGATCTTTTTCTGGTTACACCAGAGTCAGGTGATGCGTGTTTTATTGTACATAGCAGAATTACATGTCATTTTGACTTGGTAGAAAGTTTGATACCAGTGTGGGCTACAGTAGACTATGGGCCCTGGACTTGTAGCATGTGTGGAGAACAGAGTAGGAAAAAAAACCTTGGACAGTGTTGTCTGAGAAGGCTTCTGTGCATGCCATTTGGATACAAATGGGAAGGTAGGGAAGTAGACCATGTGATACCTTGTGCAGACCATTCCGGGCCAGGAGAAAACAGCTGGGAACAAGGTGGCCACTGTGCTGACCCAAGAATACAAAAGAGGCAGAGAAATATTGCACTGGGAAAAAGCTGAAGTTACATGATTGCATTTTTCAAAGGATCACTGGTTACTGTGTAGCAGTAAAAAGCATGGAGACATTATATACAAGTATGCATTGTATGTGTAATTACTTATAGATGAAAAGTAGTTGGAAATAAAGATGTACTCATGGGTTAGATGAAAGGGGAGACAATGGATTGAAGTGTCAAGCCAAGTATTTTGGCCCGAGCATCTAAAAAGGAGCTAATGTGGAGATGAAAAGACTGAAGATACTTTCAGTTGGATTTTAGGCTGTATCTGACATGCTGATCTTAGTGGCAAAATCTCAGTAGATGCTGTGTGAAGCCACAACACTGGGTAGCTTCACTGAGGAAAGACAAGAGTGCACATGACGAATCAACAAAAGTGATTTTAAGAGCCAAGGAAGGGCTGCTAAAGGTCAGAGGAGAGCATACTTTGGGCAGGCAGGAGCAGTCCAACAAGGTTACCTGATGCAAACTGGTTTCGCAGGAAGAGGGCTGAGTGGAAAACCAGATAACTCAAATTTCAGTAGAATCTTTCAGTGGGTAGAAAGCCTAATTAAAATGGACTCAACAGCACATTCATAGGCAGCAGTGGCCCTTGAAATGTACAAATACATGCTTTTCTGTTGTTACATTGTATCCGCTTAAGCAAAAGGTGTGTAAGTGATTCATATTTGAGTCATTAGGAATTTTTCTTAAAAGTTACATCACTAGGTTGGTGTTGCTGTAACTTCTATTATTCCAAACTCAAGTTAGGCAATAACTCACCATAAAGTAACTGTTGGTGATGGCAGTTACTGTAAAAATACAAAAAGGGTAACACAAACCTCAACCAACTTGAAAAAATGTAGCAAACCATCCTTTGCAGTTATGCTACAGATAATATCTAGATGTTCCCCAAAGCCTTATGTGCTAATAGGGAGGGCTTTTCAGAGGTGGCTGCCTCTAGGGGGTAGGAAGATGGATTAAAGGTGTGAAATAACTAAATTAGTCCACTAATTTGCTTCAGCATAGTTCTAGGGATGGATAATGGGAATCCCACCCTGGGTGTGAGTAGCACCAACCAATAGGCTCATTCCCTGAATAGAATAAAAGGGAAAGGGAGGCCGGACGCTGATGCTTGCTGCTTTTTGCCTGGCTTGTCATGAACTGTTTCTCCTCTGCTATGTCCTTTTACCATCCTGTCCTGCCTTGGAGGTGGCCACTATGGAATGGAACCTCTACAGGCTGTAAGCAGAAATAACCTTTTCTTCTTTAACTTATGAGGGCTGGGGTTTTTATACTCAGCAATGAAGAAAATAAGACAGGCTACATGAGTGCACCCACATATGGTGTGGAGCAACTTTAGTTGATAGAATACTCGGTAAAGTGGAACTAAACCCAGAAGAATTTGCATGATTGGATACCATTGTTAGTGATGGGTGTTATAATTAGTAGGTCACTACTACACACATAACTCTTGATCCTAAGGTAAGCAGCCCTGACTTTGTGGCAATTAGTGTATGTTTTTAGAGAGTTTGGCCATATGAACTGGGGGTGCAACTTGGTATTTTGGCAACATTCTATCATTAGAGTGAAAAATCTTTGAAGTGTCCACATATACAAGAAAAAAATGTGTTAGATTCTTTAAACTTGGAGTTTGCAAATATGTTAAAAAGCATAATGTTGATAGTTACTATTTAATCCATAGCCTTGGCAGCAATGATACACATTAACTGCAGTATACATTAGCAGCCGAAAATAGGTCTTCGCTGTTGTGGAATATATTTTTACCTACTAGAATAGTCACATTTATTTTTCAAGGGCCTGTGGGTTGTGAACTGCTATCATTTGTTTTTTTATATGACTGAGTTTAGAGATCAGCATCTATGATCCCTCCATACACGGGATCATAAAACCTTCTGGTATTGATACAGTTTTAGCTGGGGTCAGTATATTTTTGAGGCAAAAAAGTATGAGCCTAGGGGCTGGAGATTTAGCTCAGCAGCATAAGCGCCTGCCTTGCTAGCAGGCAGTCGTGAGTTTGATCCCTGGTACCGAAAAAGACAAAAAAAAAAAAAAAAAAAAAGCATGAGCCTAGTTGAGGATTCTCCTCAAAAGAACTTGTTCATTGATTATTTCCTCAATTACTGCCTTTTTTCCTCCTGGAATATACTTGGCTTCTCTTTTATCTATTCATTGTCCTCTTCTGAGCCTACATACAGCAGAGAGCACCAATGTACAGAGGGCACTATGTACAGTTTTCACTTAGGTGAGTCATAAATTACAAAAATGGAAATTGAGACATTGGGTGGCTCTCAGGAGGGGGTCCTCTTAGAGAGAGAAGACACATGGACCATAAGTGTTAGTCAACAGTGAAAGTTCAGGGGTTTTTGGTTTGCATTTCGATTTTTTTTTTTTTCTGTGCAGGGAATTGAACCCAGGGCCTCACACATGCTAAGCAAGTACCATTCTCACCCCTAAGCCCAGTATTTTTATAACAGTACTGTGGAGAGGCCTCATTCAGTCTTGTATTCCGAACTTTCATTTAGATTCTAGAAATCTAATCATGTACGTGGTGACTTTCTTCACGTGTAAAGGTGGCAGGTAACTTCTAATTCACTATCAAACGTGGCTTGCACGTGGCTTCATTTAAGTCCAGGGTTATAAAATTATTCTAACAGTTGCAAAGTCTCCCGTTGCCTAAGCAGTTCACAGAGATATGCCAAATTGTTTTCTGGACATTTACTCAAAACCAAGCTCTACATGTAACTAACATTTCTTTGAGTACATTAATTTGAGAGTTTTCCTTAAGAACAATCAATTCATCATGTAAGTGAAGGCCCAAATATTCAACCTGGGAATAAAAGTGGCCAGTGAAAGAGGAAAATCATTGTGCATGAAATTAACAAAAATGAATGACTTAACTATCTCACAGCGGGGGAATAATGTGCATCAACAGATGGTGAGTATAAAATGAGAAGCTAAGTCAGCCCCAGCCCTGGTATGCTGCATCTTAATCTTCTCCAGCGTGTTCCTAGCGCATCCCCTTCCTAAGCTACCTTCGTTGTACAAACAGGAGGGGAATTCACAGGGGTGGGTTTTGCCAGGTGGAACACAGGCTGGGTGACTGCCATAAAGTGGGCATGACTGTAACACCAATTGCCAGCGTCTATTAAAAGTGAAAGTGACTAAGCTCTGAAATGTGGTTAAGTAATGTGCAACCTGTTCTGCTCTGCCCCAGACATAAGCGGAGGGGAGGACGGGGCTCTGTGTGAGGGCAGCAGCGCCTGTGGTTCAGGCAGGAAAGGCGTCTTTCCACACCATCACCAGGTTTCGCCGTGGCCCCTCCATCAGAAGACGAATTAACAAGGAAAAAATGCACATTT